TTGCATTGGAATTGCTGCATGATGTTGCAGGGGCTGTGTGTTGGGGAGGAAGCCGGAGCACGAAACCTTGCGTTTTTCCGTGTAAAGTGGCTGCAGCCGGCGATGAAAGCTACCTCGTCGGTGCAGCGGTTGCGGCTGGGGTCGTTTTGTGCGCGAATTGTTCCTCCTATGTGTTTTGCAACGAGTGGTTGTGTCTGTGTGCGTAGTTCTATGCGGTTCTTGAATCTCTGGTTGCAGATTGCAATGGAATGGCTGCTTCATTGTTGTCATTTGATGTTGCCACGTGCGTAGATAGGTGCAGGTTTGCTACGGGATGCTGCGAAACGCATTGTAATGGCTGCATGATGTTGCATGGGCTGTGTGTTGGGGAGGAAGCCGGAGCATGAAACCTTGCGTTTTTCCGTGTAAAGTGGCTGCAGCCGGCGATGAAAGCTACCTCGTCTGCGCGGCAGTTGCGGCTGGGGTCGTTTTGTGCGCGAATTGTTCCTCCTATGTGTTTTGCAACGAGTGGTTGTGTCTGTGTGCGTAGTTCTATGCGGTTCTTGAATCTCTGGTTGCAGATTGCAATGGAATGGCTGCTTCATTGTTGTCATTTGATGTTGCCACGTGCGTAGATAGGTGCAGGTTTGCTACGGGATGCTGCGAAACGCATTGTAATGGCTGCATGATGTTGCATGGGCTGTGTGTTGGGGAGGAAGCCGGAGCACGAAACCTTGCGTTTTTCCGTGTAAAGTGGCTGCAGCCGGCGATGAAAGCTACCTCGTCTGCGCGGCGGTTGCGGCTGGGGTCGTTTTGTGCGCGAATTGTTCCTCCTATGTGTTTTGCAACGAGTGGTTGTGTCTGTGTGCGTAGTTCTATGCGGTTCTTGAATTTCTGGTTGCAGATTGCATTGGAATTGCTGCATGATGTTGCATGTGCTGTGTGTTGGGGAGGATTCCGGAGCACGAAACCTTGTGTTTTTCCGTGTAAAGTGGCTGCAGCCGGCGATGAAAGCTACCTCGTCGGTGCAGCGGTTGCGGCTGGGGTCGTTTTGTGCGCGAATTGTTCCTCCTATGTGTTTTGCAACGAGTGGTTGTGTCTGTGTGCGTAGTTCTATGCGGTTCTTGAATCTCTGGTTGCAGATTGCATTGGAATGGCTGCGTCATTGTCGTGATTTGATGTTGCCACGTGCGTAGATAGGTGCAGGTTTGCTACGGGATGCTGCGAAACGCATTGTAATGGCTGCGTCAAGGTTGCTCGGTGCCGCGGCTGCATGCGTAATATTGTCTTTTGCAGCTGAAGATCGTAAATCGTATTGGAGTGGCTGCATCCAGGCTGCCACAGTGATTTGTCAGCAGATTTTCTCAATTTTGGCGCTAGTAATTTTCCTTCTAAAAATCATTAAAAAAAATGCTTCAAAATCGTCTTTTTTCTTCTTTCAATCCGGTTTTGGAGCTGCAATTTGCGACTCCGTTGCGCGTAGTTCTATTGTGTTTTGCAACTCAGTCTCTGCAGATCGCATTGTAGTGGCTGCGTCAAGGTTGCTTGGTGCCGCGGCTGCATGCGTAATACTATTGTCTTTTGCAGCTGAACAGCGTAAATCGTATTGGAATGGAAAAATCCAGGCTGCGATAGTGATTTGGCAGCAGATTTTCTCAACTTTGGCGCTAGTAATTTTCCTTCTAAAAATCATTTTAAAAAATGCTTCAAAATCGTCTTTTTTCTGCTTTGGCGTCGAGATCCGGTTTTGAAGCTGCAATTTCCGACGCCGTTGCACGTAGTTCTATTGTGTTTTGCAACTCAGTCTCTGCAGATCGCATTGTAGTGGCTGCGTCAAGGTTGCTCGGTGCCGCGGCTGCATGCGTAATACTATTGTCTTTTGCAGCTGAACAGCGTAAATCGTATTGGAATGGCTGCATCCAGGCTGCGATAGTGATTTGTCAGCAGATTTTCTCAGCTTTGGCGCGAGTAATTTTCCAACAACGACGCAGGTCATGTTCTTGGACAGCAACACTGCAACAGCTTCGCACAAAGCACGCACGCACGGGCCAGGTTGGCGCACTGCGCATGCAAGTTCCTTAGTAGTAGTACTGGGAAGTGATTCATGAAAGCTTAGATGACATATGAGAAGAGATGAGATGAGAAGAGCTCAGCTGGGATAAGGTGAGAAGAGCTCAGATGAGATGAAGGGTGCAGTGTGAAGTGTGGGGCAAGAAGAGTGCAGTGTGAAGTGTGGAGTGTGAAATGTGAAGTGTGGACTGTGAAGTGTGACGTTTGGAGTGCGAAGAGTGCACTGTGAAGTGTGGACTGTGAAGTGCGCAGTGTGAAGTGTGAAGTGTGGAGTGCGAAGGGTGCAGTGTGAAGTGTGAAGAGTGTGGAGTGTGAAGTGCGAAGAGTGCAGTGTGAAGAGTGCAGTGTGAAGTGTGTACTGTCAAGTGTGAAGTGTGAAGTGGAGCTTCAAATGTGACATGTGAAACAAGACAACACTTTCGCAGAGTGCACGCACGCACGGGCTTGGCTGGCGCACGGCGCATGCAAGTTCTATAGATGAGAAAGCTCCTATATATATCTTTAAGGCAACTTCCGCCCCGCCTCGTGCGGGTACTACTGGTATCTCTTGATATTGCTTCAGATGAATGACGGATGAAAACACATGCGGAGACATGGAAACAAACACACACACACACAAGCACCCCCCAACCCCCCCCCCACATTTGTATAGCGTGTAATTATCCCACAAACATACGCATACAGTACGAAAAACCTGGAGCGTTTTGTTCTCTTCAGTCCTGCATCAGTGGTGAAATTATGGCGAGCACTGTCCTTGATCAGGAACACACACACTGGACTCGTTTTGAGTTTTTGAAGTTAGATCCACCAAAGGTGTATTTGATACGCGGCAAAAAGTCTATATACGGGGTTGAACCAGGTTGAACATAACCTTAACACATTTCAACATCCTGCCTGGCCCATGCAACAGCGGAACGAACAGAACAGTATATGCGGGTTACCAATGCACTAAAGTGCCCAGGCCAACCCAAGTAGCAGGTACAGGAGTGTGCGTGCACACCTCTTTCTGGCTCAATCCCATAGCTTCGTTGGCATGGCTAGGGAAACAGCTGCCGGGCGATTCAGGGTACCATGCCGTGTAAGAAGGGTTGATGCACACATACATACACGCCTCACAATGGGGGCAATTAGTCGTGACAATCCCCGAAGAAACCAAAAACCCAAACCCTACAAGGAAAAACAAGAAAGGAAAAACACACACACCAAAAAAAAATCCAAAAGTTGAAGGGAAACAGAAAAAGTTGCAACAGACCCCGCAAACGTTCGATGGGAACTAACTAGAAAAACGGTACGTCACCCCAAAACTTGTGGGAAAAAGAAAATTCGAACAACTAAGAAATAGAAGTGCGATCGGGTTGTACATGCCTCTTAGCTGCTTGATTTTTTTGAACTAACTACCTTGTCTGTGACTGGTTGTGGCTTCACCTAGTTTGGCACTCCTTGCTAGGGTTCCTGGGTCTTTGCCTGCACGGGCCCTTGTTTGCTTGCCTCTCAGCTGTGTTGGCTGGCTGGGTCTCTGACCTTTGCTGTTTGCACACTACCCCTGCAACACAGAAGTATGGAGCCTGCCGGACTATATAAGCTGGGGCGGCATAACTATACAAGCCGGGGTGACATAAACACACTGGACTGGTTTTGAGCGTTTGAAGTTAGATCCACCCAAGTTGTAGTCGATACGCGGCAAAAAGTCTACAGGGTTGATCAGCGTTGAACATAACCTTGACACATTTCAACATCCTGCCATGCCCCCTCCCTTTCTGGTAGACCAACTTCATCCAACTTCGGTGGGCGATTTAGGGCACCATGCCCTTTGCAAGAAGGTTCCACACACACACACACCTGCAGGTATGCATTACGGGATGCTACGTTGTGGTACGCCACACTACGTTACATTACACTAGCGTACATTATAATTACTACATCACATTCGCGCAGCAGTACTTCCGAATTGGGGTTGTTGAATTGGTTGGGTAGTTATTACTTGTTACTTATGACCTTTCCACAGTGTTCCGAAGAGTGATGCGAGAAGTGAGACGATTGTCATATCAGGTTTACAGGCGCGCAGTTGTGAAGATGAGGGGCTACAACCTTCACTCAGGACTTGGCTGGAGTCGAATTGCCATAAAAAATCAGCTCTGGGTCCATTCTACATACCATCAGGGTGTCTTCTCCATTTTGTATCATTTTGTATCATTTTATATTTTTATATAATTGTATTCCCTATGCAAGTGGAAATGAGGTCAGCATTGCAGTTTCTGCAAGAGGCTTCACTCGACGTTTCGAAATGAGAAGTCGAGTCGCGAGCAGCTCTGGGCCTCGAACATGCGCAGAAATCGTGTTTGGTTGAAGCTTGGGATCACATGAACACACACACATCATTACATCATATATATGTATATTATACATATGATATACCTACCGTATACATCCGTATTTATATTTATACATGACACCAATTATCAACCGTTAAACGCATATATATATAATATAATATATATACATATACACACACCGTCAAATGCATTATATATATATATTCTATGGGTTACAGACACACACACACATATATATATGGCTAGACTAGATTTCAATTGTAATATTAAGCCTTTAGAGGCGACCATCTTGGGTGGTCCTTGCTGCATCCTGGAGCCATTTCCAATTTACCCGGAGTCAACTGTCAACTTTAAATGAATTGCCCTGCTGTAGACCTCCGCTTCCTGTCTCTGCAGCTTGTAGCAGTTCTCATTTATATATATATGTACTATATACATGTATATGCATACATATATGCAAATGTCATGCATCCAGACAGAGGTGCAACGCTGCAGCAAAAATACAGCTTTCCACATTCCCATAGTTATTCCGAACTGGGCTGTTGATGAGTTGATGGCTGTTGGAGTATTGATAGATTGCCAAGAACGGCTGTGGACGAAGCGAAGCTTAGTTGCGCAGCGAGCACAACATTCTTGTGGAGCTATGGCATCGCCGCATGCTGCCCATTCTGACTTGGAGAGCCTTCACTTGCTTTCCACACACTCAGAAGGTACCGGTGCGGGGTTGCGGGTGGCACTTTGGAGCAGGTGATGCCGGTGCTCATTCTGGGCAAGGGAAAGGCATGAAAAAGAGGGATGGACAAGTTCCACGATGCTTAAGTTGTGATTCAAATTATCGAAAAGTATCATAAAATATCAGCCAGCATCAGGCAGACACATCCACAGCAGAAAACCTTGTGCAGGCATTGGCACAACTGTGACCCGGAGCAGATTCTGGCGGTGGGTTGGTGGCTGGGCAATGACTGAATCATGGATGAGGGACTGGGCAGAGGCTGTTAGATGCTATTAGCCCGGCACATTTGGTACTGGGGTTTATTGGCACATTACCATCAGGCCGTCCACTTCATCCTTTCTAGTATAATATGGTGTGTACAATCATGTTTTGACTTGAAATTCCACATGTATTTTTAACGATTTTTGTCACACATGTGACGACCAACAAGGTGTGCTTGCACTTGGCTTGAGTGCCATCGTTTGCGTGCGGACCCTGGTGGTCGTTGGGTAGTTAGAAAGTTCTGAGATTGAAGGATTTCGCTGCAAGTTAAGCAAAGTGTCAGTGATTCACATCATCCACCAGATTTTCTTGTACCTGTTCCTGTTCAAATAGCATGTCAGCGTGAGGTCATGTCAAAACGGTCACAAGATCATCAAGATCCAATGTCCAGCCTTATATAATCAGCACATTCAGAACTGCAGAAAGGATTTTTCTTTCACGATGTTTCATGCAGGTTGTCACTTTGCCACCAAATGGACATGCATTCTTCATGATGGACTTACCGTCACAAGATCATCCAGAGGACCATGTTGATCATTTGCCGCAGTTTGTGCTGCCTTGGCATACCTTTTCCTGCAGCATCAAGTAGTCTGCTTGCTGGGACCCATTCCCATTTGGGAAGCACAGGATGGCACTGTTTTTTTTCCGTCCGTGGCCACAACATTTTTATCAGGAATTATATATCTTGTTTTATCATGTTTTATCTTTGGATATCTTTGGGCAACTGATGGCAACTGAAAATGCTTTGTGTTCCAGGACTTGCTGCGCCGAGAGGATGTATTGATCCAAGAAGGCACTTTGGCGCAATCACTTGTCTGCTGGAGAGGATGAGGGTGTTTCAGGTTGTATCTGATGGCATTGGTTGTTCTGCCAGCTGGACTAAAAATTGCTCAAGAAGTCTTCCCCTCCAAACAACACAGCTTGTACTGGTATCATGATAACACTGATAACTGATAACACTGATACGACAGACTGATTGAGAGCACTGTGACAGCACCCCGCATCCGGACACCAGGTCTACACAACTTTCGATGAAGAGATGTTGCTGATGATGCGATTACCAAACACCATCATGCAAGTTAATCAGATGATGATAAGCACACATACAGTGTATGGGAAAGAATTTCCCTCGCCAATTGCCTGAGAGGGCTGTATTTTTAAAATAAACTTGCAAGCACCACTTTGAACAAGTGGTTGTGGTTGATCACCAATTAGAGCCCCCTTATCAAACTTCCGCTCAGAACTGCGTGCAGCCGTGGGTTACCGCGTGTGCCACCCTGGTACGTGGAAGAGCAGAAGAGTCAGATTAAGCACGTAATATGCTCTTCAGACGCTTACGGGGCTGGTATGGCTAAATTCATTGCTACTGGTTGTACGGTACACTGCCTAGATTGTTTGGATTTGTTTGGAAAATGAATGTTTGCATCCCAGAATGGCCTCACAAGCGGCTCTCATATCTACCTGCCTGAGGTTGACGTGACACTGCCTTTCTTTATATAGATTGACTGTGCACTGTGTCCCATTTTTCTTTTCTTGACAGCTACTTGCATAGCGCATCATTTTGGCAATGACACCTCAGAAAGGAAGCGGGGGTGACACAGGGTGGCAGCGTGTGACATTTTCTTTAGCATCCTTTGGCCATATGGCGTGGCTCCGGCACATGTGGGCATTCTATGCTTTTGTGAGCGGTATTCACATCCTGGACCATAGACTTCAACACATATCCCGTCACCACACCTTGAGGTCTCCAGCATCAGCTGGCAAAGCTGAGTCATGTCGCTCCTGGGACCGCAGAAACAGCGCGGAAGCTTCAGACTGTTCCACGTCCATTCCATTGACCAAGTTTTGATTTGCAGCGACCTTTAGGAACATTTTGATTCCGGTTTATGGCAATACTTCATGGCCATCAAATCAAGGTCTATATTTAATTGCCTGTAGCAAGCCCGCCGGCCATAGGTGGCCCTGAGGGAGTGTGCTGTGCACCCTAGGTGGAAGCCGGAGAGAGCAGCAGAAGAGAAGAGAAGAAGAACTGGAAAAGAAGACAGAGCCATAAAACGGAAGCCGCTTGTGTAGGAAGTGCTTGCAGTAACAACCTACTGACCGTATGCCAACTGCGCCAGTACAGAAGCGCCAGGTACCATGATGTACTATGTATGAGCCTTCAGCTTGATAGCAGACCGCGGCATGGAAGGGGACGGAAGGGAGGCGGAGTGACGTTGCCCCAAGGGAGGTTAATGTGCACGCTAGGTGGAAGTTGGAGAGAGAAGCAGAAGAGAAGAGAAGTGAAGAGAAGAGAAGGGCAGAGCAGAGCAGAGCAGAGGAGAGAAGAGAAGAGAAGAGAAGAGGAGAGGAGAGGAGAGGAGAGGAGAGGAGAGAAGAGAAGAGAAGAGAAGAGAAAAGGAGGAGAAGAAGAAGAGGAGGAAGAAGACGAAGACAGAGCCGTGGAGCAGAAGCAGCTTGCGTGGCAAGTGCTGACTTTAACAACTTGTTGACAGCATAGCCAGTGAGCACCGGTCGATCAGGTCAGTAACGCGTACGTCCTGTGACTAGTACAGCTGGACGACTGTAGTGCTGTGTAGACGTTTGACTAGCTACCGGTACCACAACCGGTTTAGTACTTGGGGACTAGGAGTAGGAGCAGGACTAGGAGAAGTATATAGGAGTATGAGGAGTAGGAGGAGTAGTAGGAGTAGTACGAGGAGGAGTAACAGTAGCAGCAGCAGCAGCAGCAGCAGTAGTCGTATTCATAGCCGTAGTCGTAGTCGTAGTCCTAGTCGTAGTAATAGTAGCGGTCGTCGTCGTTGTAGTAGTAGAAGTCATAGTAGTAGCAGTAGTCGTAGTAGTAGTAGCAGTAGTAGTAGTCGTCGTCGTCGTCGAGTAGTAGTAGTCGTAGTTGTTGTAGTTCGTGCAGTTGGTGTAGTTAGTGTAGTTGGTGTAGTTGGTGTAGTTGGTGTAGTTGGTTCAGTTGGTGTAGCTGGTGTAGTTGGTGTAGTTGGTGTAGTTGGTGTAGTTGGTGTAGTTGGTTCAGTTGGTGTAGCTGGTGTAGTTGGTGTAGTTGGTGTAGTAGTAGAAGTCGTAGTAGTAGCAGTAGTCGTAGTAGTAGTAGTAGTAGCAGTAGTAGTAGTAGTCGTCGTCGTCCAGTAGTAGTAGTAGTAGTAGTAGTAGTAGTCGTCGTAGTTGTTGCAGTTGGTGCAGTTGGTGTAGTTGGTGTAGTTGGTGTAGTTGGTTCAGTTGGTGTAGTTGGTGTAGTTGGTGTAGTAGTAGTAGTAGTAGTTGTTGTTGTTGTAGTTGTAGTGGTAGTGGTAGTGGTAGTTGTAGTAGTAGTAGTAGTAGTAGTTGTTGTTGTAGTTGTAGTGGTAGTGGTAGTGGTAGTTGTAGTAGCAGTAGTAGTAGTAGTTGTTGTTGTTGTTGTGGTTGTTGGTTGTGGTTGTTGTTGTTGTTGTTGTTGTTGTTCTTGTTCTTGTTCTTGGTTCTTGTTCTTGTTGTTGTTGTTGTTGTTGTTGTTGTTGTTTTATGAGAATTTGGGAGCCGCAGGCTGGGGCTCACAAGAACATTTTTTCGAACATTTTTTTCAAAAAATCATCGGTTATCACCGAACTTATCCTCGAAATCTTCATTTGTTTGGCTAGCTTTATTTCTGTATCATGTGGATCATCCTAATAAACATCACCAGCAAATCAGGCTCACCAAACAAATTTCCAAGTCACCGCTCGTTCTAATCCGATAATTTTGAATTTTCACTGGAACCTACCAACGGCCCAATAAGCTTCCTATGTTAGAAACTTCCGCTAAAGCCACCGGGCAACCGTGATGCGCGCTGATACTGCCTCCATCACAACTCCCGCAAAGCCGGAACGCAATTTCGCAGTGACGACCGCGATTGTGCCAGTGACGACCGCGATTGCGCAGTCGAAAAAAATGAAAATGGGTTTGGGAATCGAGAAAGTCGAAAAATAAACAAAAAATATTTTACTTCGAGTTATCCCCACCATGACATTTTTACGTTTTGTTACTGGCAAATCTTCTGGCATTCTATCTGACATATCTTCTGGCATTTTATCTGGCATTCTATCTGGCATATCTTCTGGCATTCTACCTGGCATATCTTCTGCAATATGTTCTGGCATTCTACGTGGCATATCTTCTGGCATATGTTCTGGCATAGCTTCTGGCATTCTATCTGGCATATCTTCTGGCATATCACTTGGCAAATCTTCTGGCATTCTATCTGGCAAACATTCTGGCACTTTATCTGGCATATCTTCTGGCATTCTATCTGGCATACCTTCTGGCATTCTATCTGGCATATCATAACATTCTATCTGGTATATCTTCTGGCACTCTATCTGGCATATCTTATGGCATTTTATCTGGCATATCTTCTGGCATTCTATCTGACATCTATCTGGCATATCTTCTGGCATTCTATCTGGCCGTTGAGGTCCAGCGGTGCGCACTGAGCTCGGAAGGTCCCAGGTTGAGGTCCAGCGGTGCGCACTGAGCTTGGAAGGTCCCAGGTTGAGGTCCAGCGGTGCGCACTGAGCTGGGAAGGTCCCAGGTTGAGGTCCAGCGGTGCGCACTGAGCTGGGAAGGTCCCAGGTTGAGGTCCAGCGGTGCGCACTGAGCTGGGAAGGTCCCAGGTTGAGGTCCAGCGGTGCACACTGAGCTGGGGAGGTCCCAGGTTGAGGTCCAGCAGTGCGCACTGAGCTCGGAAGTTGGCGAAGAGTTTGGCGAAGAGTTGGCAAGGCGGAAGTGGAGGTGGAAGTTGATGCAGACATGGTCGAGGAGAAATTGGAGGAGGAGGAGGAGAAGGAGGAGGAGGAGGCGGAGGACAACAGCTCTGATAAAATCTAAGAACACTCACCTGGCAGGTGGGATAAAACGAAAAAAAATACTTTACTTTGTGTGATCCCCAACATGACATTTATACATTTAATTTACTGGCAAATCTTCTGGCATTCTATCTGACATTTTATCTGGCATTCTATCTGGCATACCTTCTGGCATTCTGTCTGGCATATCTTCTGGCATTCTATCTGGCATATCTTCTGGCATTCTACCTGGCATATCTTCTGGCATATGTTCTGGCATATCTTCTGGCACTCTATCTGGCATTCTATCTGGCATATCTTCTGGCATATTATCTGGCAAATCTTCTGGCATCCTATCTGGCAAACATTCTGGCACTTTATCTGGCATACCTTCTGACATTCTATCTGGCATATCTTCTGACATTTTTTCTGGCATTCTATCTGGCATATCTTCTGAATTCTTCTGACCTTATATCTGACATATCTTCTGACATATCTTCTGGCATTCTATCTGACATCTATCTGGCATATCTTCTGGCATTCTATCTGGCCGTTGAGGTCCAGCGGTGCGCACTGAGCTCGGAAGGTCCCAGGTTGAGGTCCAGCGGTGCGCACTGAGCTTGGAAGGTCCCAGGTTGAGGTCCAGCGGTGCGCACTGAGCTGGGAAGGTCCCAGGTTGAGGTCCAGCGGTGCGCACTGAGCTGGGAAGGTCCCAGGTTGAGGTCCAGCGGTGCGCACTGAGCTGGGAAGGTCCCAGGTTGAGGTCCAGCGGTGCACACTGAGCTGGGGAGGTCCCAGGTTGAGGTCCAGCAGTGCGCACTGAGCTCGGAAGTTGGCGAAGAGTTTGGCGAAGAGTTGGCAAGGCGGAAGTGGAGGTGGAAGTTGATGCAGACATGGTCGAGGAGAAATTGGAGGAGGAGGAGGAGAAGGAGGAGGAGGAGGCGGAGGACAACAGCTCTGATAAAATCTAAGAACACTCACCTGGCAGGTGGGATAAAACGAAAAAAAATACTTTACTTTGTGTGATCCCCAACATGACATTTATACATTTAATTTACTGGCAAATCTTCTGGCATTCTATCTGACATTTTATCTGGCATTCTATCTGGCATACCTTCTGGCATTCTGTCTGGCATATCTTCTGGCATTCTATCTGGCATATCTTCTGGCATTCTACCTGGCATATCTTCTGGCATATGTTCTGGCATATCTTCTGGCACTCTATCTGGCATTCTATCTGGCATATCTTCTGGCATATTATCTGGCAAATCTTCTGGCATCCTATCTGGCAAACATTCTGGCACTTTATCTGGCATACCTTCTGACATTCTATCTGGCATATCTTCTGACATTTTTTCTGGCATTCTATCTGGCATATCTTCTGAATTCTTCTGACCTTATATCTGACATATCTTCTGACATATCTTCTGGCATTCTATCTGACATCTATCTGGCATTATACGTGGCATATACTCGGGCCATATCTTCTGACATTCTATCTGACATCTTTTCTGACATTCTTCCCGTTGAGGTCCGGCAGTGCCCACTGCGATCTGGAAGTCGCGGTTGAGGTCCGGCAGTGCCCACTGGTATCTGGAGCTCGCGGTTGAGGTCCGGCAGTGCCCACTGGGATCTGGAGCTCGCGGTTGAGGTCCGGCAGTGCCCACTGCGACCTGGAAGTCGCGGTTGACTGGAGCTCGCGGTTGAGGTCCGGCAGTGCCCACTGGGATCTGGAAGCTCGCGGTTGAGGTCCGGCAGTGCCCACTGCGACCTGGAAGTCGCGGTTGAGGTCCGGCAGTGCCCACTGCGATCTGCAACTCGCTGTTGAGGTCCGGCAGTGCCCACTGGGATCTGGAGCTCGGGGCCGGGAACCACCAAAAGCGAAAAAAAGAAGGAAAAAAAAAAACACGAAAAAAAAACGAACAAAAAACGAAAAACACGAAAAAAACTCGATTTTTTTAAACGTTTTTTGGATTTGTCAAAAAGTGGCTAAAAAATCGGCCATTTTGGTGGCCTCCGCGCTTCTCTGGGGGAGGAGAGCCGGGAACCACCAAAAAGGAAAAAAACATCGGAAACAACGAAAAAAAAAAGCATGAAAACAACATGAAAAAAAGAAAAACAAATGAAACAAACTCGTTTTTTCTTTTAACGTTTTTTTTATTTTTCAAAAATGGGTTAAAAATCTGCCATTTTGGTGGCCTCCGCGCCTCTCTGGGGGGGAGGGCCGGGAACCCCCAAAATGGATCAAAATGGAAACTTTGGGGAGCCTTTGCCTACAAGAACCTCCGCAAGGGAAACTTTGGGGCTGCCAGAAGCTCCAAAATGGAATCTTTGGGAAACCTCAGCAAATTTGGTGATGATTTTGGTGATGTTTTTGGTGATAAGATGTGATAAGTAAAATGATAATAAATCGAATAAATAAATAATTTTGGATTTCCAATGTGTGCCTGGCTAAAATGGTCATAGTTGTAATAATTGTTGTTGTTGTTGTCGTTGTCGTTGTCGTTGTCGTTGTTGTTGTTGTTGTTCTTGTTCTTGTTCTTGTTCTTGTATGTGTTGTTGTTGTTGTTGCTGCTGCTGTTGTTGTTGTGGTTGTTGTTGTGGTTGTTGTTGTTGTTGTACTAATATGTACTAGCACTAGTACGAGTAGTAGTTTAGTCTCAGTACTAGCACTTGTGCTAGCATTAGTGTTAGTAGAAGAGCTGTAGTTGTAGCATGCTGTAGCTATATAGAAGGGGTGCAGGAACAACACCCTCCAATCAGACTTGCCGCTAGGCCGGTGGATTTCCGAAGCAGGTCTTACCTTTATGAAGCCATTCGCTTGTGATCAGTGACGAGACAACGTGATCATGCCAACATCAGTCCAGCAAATCCGGGAATTTAGCAGACTTCAATTTTTCCGA